CCGATGTTTAACTGCAACATTTTTATTTTACATGACACTTCATTATATGAAAAAAAATTTTCATTTCACATTATGTATAGATACTCATATTCAATCAATCTATGAAAAATACGTCTCAACTTAATTCATATTTATATACACTTCGACAAAGTCATCCTTTTTATATGATTATCACCCATCATCAATATGATCTACTCAAACATCTACTTATGGATCGATTAATTAAACGAAAATAGATTCAATTTAGTCTAACTTTCTTCTGGATTTTATTTCTTTTCTACGGTATATTGTAAATTTTTGTTAGATATTCAGACTTTATGTACATAGGCGACCGAATTACAAGACTTCGATAGGCTAAAGTCTAAATTTTGTATGACTAAATATTGAGTTTCACATTGCTAATACTTTAAAGTAGTATTCGTTCATTAAAAATGAATAGAGGTCGACAAGTTCGGAGATGTTAAAAACGTTCTTCGATATGAACTTATCTGTTCGAACAGTTTTGAGTAAGGCACTTCAGTGTATAAAAAACCTTTTTTTTCTCTTACTAAAATGCCGCTTCCAAAACAGAATCGAACAGCTCAGCTTCAGAAACTGAACTGTTGGAACAGATATCGTGCTATTATCTGATCTGTTTGAACATATTTTTCGTTCATTTGATCTGAAATTTGAACTGAGAACTAATCGATCCCTACAAATGAAGAAGAATTCTGCGAGAAACTAGAGCTAAATAAACTACAAATTGATGAAAATTTTTCTCGCCTTCAATGGCTAAGATCACAATGTGGTTTCGTTTTTCTTTTAGTACATCAGATTGAGTACCGGGTTGGATCCAGATTTGAGATCATATTCAGCACTCAATCCAGCAATATATGAGATCTTGATGTTTCAAAATATTTTTATTTGTTCAAATTACTAATTTATATAAAACCGTAAGAATGAAAACCTGTTCGATCATAATTGAGTAATTTATTGTACTTGAGAACAGACCACAGAAGTAGAAAGCCATATTGTTTTACTAAGTAAATTCATTTTTTAATGAAAACTCATCTATAGATGATGATGAACCACATGACGAAGTAATTGAATACATGAAGAGGAAAATGAATTATCAAAAAGATAAACATGTATTATCGTGATGGAAAAAACATTGATGTATGTATTCACAAATATGACGTTTGCCACCAACACTGCATTTCATTCTAGTGTCATCAGCAACAACCAAACGTATACTTAGCGAAATTGATCGGATTTTTCGAAGCAAAAATCATGAATCACTTGCTTTTTTTTTTGTTTCTGTCTATGGGAATGTCGATTAGCTTCATTCTGGTACAGCTATTCGAATCCAGTGAGAAAAATTGTACCCATGCAGGACACTTCTGTTTATCAATCGGTTAAATATTTAATGAATTTTTAAATTCATCATATAAGTTTCTTGCTTCTAACGAAAACTTTATACCGATATCATCGAATCGTCTGACAAAGAAACTCACTATCATTCATTTTCTATATAATTATTTTTCCTTCCTAAAATTCATAATTTTATTATAATTTGTTTTTTTTTCTGAAAATAAATCAACTAATTCTATTTTCTACTCTCCTGTGTTTTGATAAAGTATCTTTCATCTCTTTTTTTTTTTCTTTTTATTCATATTAACAATAATGATTTAGCACATATTGTCTGCACATTTTTTTTTTAATTCCATTATAAAACTAAAAGACTGCACAGATGTAGAATAGACACAAAAAAAAATCATAGAAGCATAACAAACAACTTTTACTTGAATTACTTTTCCAAAAAAAGAAACAGACTTTTTAATTAAGTATATAATCAAAATTAATCAAATAGAAAATTTAACAAAAAAAAGAAAAAATTAAGTTGAATGATTTGCTGTTCTATATTTAATATTTCCATTTTTTTTTACTTGACAAGTGTTAAAATGTCTCGCAACAAGTTGTTCCCATGAGACAATACTAACCATAGATTAACAAAGAGAGATCGATGTCAATAGTGTTGTATGTGTAATTGTCGACAATGAACATCTTCTTTTTTTTCATTCATACTAAATGATGTTGCATGATTAACGAGCTCAACAAAATTAGATAATAAACTTAAATATTTTAGTTTAATTTTAATTGGATTGGTTAGAACGATATTGTTAAATTTTGATTGGTTAAAAGACAAAATTAAATTTTCTGATTTCAAAGTAGACGGAAGTTGTCAGTTAATCTATTAAACGAACAACAACAAACTTAGTCTATATTCAATTCCTTTGAGAGAGAGAGAGGGCGAGAGAAAAAAGAGAGCCCCTATCCTCTTTTTTTTTCTCTCAAACATCATTGATGCATATCGATTCGCTACAATAATCATTGTCGTCGCTTTTAATCAAGTCTTTTTTTCTCTCTTCTTCTCTCTCTCTCTTGTCCCGAAACTCGAAACGAGTCATTGGTTTTTTTTCTTCATTCGACACAGTATACGCGTTTGAGAAAAAAATTCAATCTATCATACATATAAAAAAAAAGAGTAACGCTCTATTGCTATTTCTCTTCCCTTCATTGCCTTTTCAAGACTGTCTTTTGCTTGTGCACAAGAGTCTTGTTACTGTGCAAAACCATGTTTCCGTTCAACCAGTTCGTTGCAGCTCAATACCGATATTCCAAATTCGGTAGGTACTTGGTATTTTCTTCTATTTATTGATTCTTTCTTTTTGTGTGTGTGTGTGTGTGTATATCTCTTTGTGCTCCAATGAATCACGAGAGTCAATTTTTTTTGTTTTCATTTATTTATCCATATAGGACATGGAGGAATCAATCAACTTGGTGGAGTTTTTGTTAATGGACGACCATTACCAGATATTGTTCGTCAATCAATTGTTGATTTAGCTAAACAAGGTGTACGACCATGTGATATTAGTCGTCAATTACGAGTATCACATGGTTGTGTAAGTAAAATTCTTGGAAGGTAAATAAATTCCAAAGCAAAGAAAAACGAGATTGACTGAATGACTTTTTATTTTATTTTTTTTGTTAGATTTCATGAAACAGGTTCAATTCGACCAGGTATTATTGGTGGAAGCAAACCAAAAGTAGCAACACCGAAAGTTGTTGATGCTATAAATAATTATAAAAGTCAAGCACCAACAATGTTTGCATGGGAAATTCGAGAACGTCTTATAGCTGATGGAATATGTGATGCTGATAAAGTTCCAAGTGTTAGCTCAATAAATAGGTAATAGTTTTCTTTTTTTTTGCCGAAGGTCACCTCTGAATAAAAATTACATTAAGATTAATCGAAATTTTATATCATACTTCATAAATCTCTCATCAAACAATAGTATAATTTCGATTGTCATGTAACTAATGACTCGCAACACGTTTTTTTTTTCGCTTCATAATCATAGAATAAAGAAACAGGTGGGAGTAAGTCAATTGATTTTGACAAAAAAGAAATCTATTTTTGGAATAGAAATGAGAGAAATCATTTTTTTCTTTCTAACATATAGAAATAATATAAAGTAATCTGTTTTGTTATATGTATAAAATTAACCAATCGGAAGGATACAAACAACTGTTCATTAATGTAAGATTCAATTAAATTGATCATCGCATTGAATCAAAAATGATACGATCATATGTTGTCGTATCTAATAATCCCAATAGACAATCTATTATGTTTGTTCAAACTAAAAAATTTTCTACTCAATTAAATCTTAAAAGAAGTAGTATGATCTATGTGTCAAAGTTCATTAGTATAAAATTAATATGGAAATGAAAAAAAAACAAAAAAAAAAAAAAAAAAAGATCTTTTTTGTATCATAGAATTGTACGTAATCGTGGTGGCTCAAATAGTAGTTCATCACCAACAGCTACAACAACTGAAGATGATAATCGAAATCATCAAATAACTGTATCATCATCATCACCAAATGTTTATAGTATTCATAGTTTACTTAATCATTCTCAATATGAATATTCAACAATAAAACAACGTTCATCATCATCGTCATCTCGTACAAACCATCATAATGGTAAGAGATTTTTCTTCTTCTTATTTTTTTTTGTCATTGTCTATTCAGACATACCATTAGTCTTACTGTCAAATTTGAATTCTCAATAGAATAAAACATATAATGACACTTATTTTGTGATCATATGTGAACTTAATTCAGTTTCTTTAGATCTATTGAATCAAAAACATTTTTCAAATGAACAAATCGATTTTTTGGATAAATTTTTTAAAGATAATCCATGGGCTGATAATGCACAGATTGAAGCAATTGTTAAACAAACGGGTCTTGCTGAATCAATTATTAAAGTAAGCAAAAAAAAACAAACTATTCTTTTTTTTAGGAACACGACGACCCCCGCAAGTCCACGTTTTTGTGGACCCGGACTCGAAAATAAATTAAACTTTGAACTCGAATCCGAAGCTTCCTACCCGCGGCCTTGCCTGCTTTTGTAAACCATCCACGCAGCTCCTCTTGCTGATTTCAGTACTGATTTATTCCTATGCTTTTTTTTAAAGGCTTATATTGATCAACGTCGTGCTAAATGGAATCCTATATATGCATCAAATAATTATCTTAGTTATAATTCAAATGAATTTATTCCAACATCAAATTCAACACAAACATTAATAAAAAATGATTTTGATATGACAACAACAACAACATCACGTAAGATAAACTTTTTTTTTTGTTTTTATTATAAAATTTTTATTTTTAGAATCAAATGAACCTTTTTGTTCATCATCATATCCACCACCACCACCACCACCAACAACAAATTTTCCCATACCAGCTCATCCATCAGGTAAGATTAATATAAGCAAAAATTAAAAAAAAACGAAAAACCAGTTTTGTCCTTTTTAGACTATTATACATCATATCCTTATTCAACTGATTGGCGTTATAAATTTTAAATCGAAAATTCAATGAATCACATAGACTGTCTATTTTGTGTAATTGGTTTGTTTTGAAAACGTATAAAAATAAAAAATATTAAAAATCTGAAAGATTGTCATGATCATGATCATCATTATTATTATAAGTATTTTTAAGTGATTGTTTTGAATGTATTGGACTTTTTCGTAATGACACATTACTTTGACGAGATGATGATTGAGTATCTTCTGGTGATATGTATCGAGATAATCGATGATCATTTGAAGGTGAAGATGGTCGCTGTTAGAATATATTAAGAAATAATTTGAAAAAAAAAGAATTTTTTTTTTCTTACGAATTTCATAAATGGTTCACGATTATTTCGATTGTCAAATTCAAGTTTATCTAAATGAAGAAACAAACGTTATCTATTGAGTATTCTTCATCAGAAACAAATACAAACTTCGATCATTAGGGAAGAATTGTTTCGAACCACTTCCACTACTAATATGTGGTGATGACGGTCGATAGGTACCAACAGGTGGAGAAAGAGATCGATGCTAAAAGATAAAATAATTCAATATTCATATCTAACTGATGGGTTAAAGGTTCTGTAGTAATTTTGTTTTTAATATAGCGTTGCAATATAATATCTTAGAAACTTGATCCTTTGTTTGTTAGAAAGAGCAGCATGTCTAGTGCAAAAATATATATAAGAATTTGATTGGAAATGTTTTCTGTAGGTCACAAAAACCTTAGAATTTTTCAGTATCATGTATAAAAAGATTAGTTTGATTGAAAAATTTTTCTATTTTCATTATTGCGATAAATAGATACAACATTTCTAAGTTCATATTGAAAAAGAGAACAAAATAATAGCTTTTGACTCGTCGAAAATATTTTCTAGCGGATCACGAGTAAACAAAGAGTTTCTCTAAAAAAAACTTTCCGATTACCCGTTATACACCGGCAGATTCTAACGTTCCTATTTCAGGATAGGAACAAATCAAAAGATCTGGTACTTTCTCAATAAACTATTTCCATTAAAGCCTGTTTTAATGCAAAGTTTCAAGTCGAAATTCGAAAGTCAATTTTCCTGAAGGAAGCCATGGCATTCAATTAAAAAATATCCTAAGAATCCAGTATCTTTACAGCAATCAGCTAAGAGCTCGAGTGCTTTCCGGGATGTTCATTAAAATCTACATTATGCACATAGGCCCGACTCAAAAACGATTAGTGAGTTAGGGAACATCTCTCATTAATAGTCAATTCTATGTTATTGATTTTCTCGATCTGCTTACTTAACAATTTTTCGAAATAAAAGAAGAAACATATATATCAAATTATCGATATTCGTGCATTTGATTCTCATCATAATCGATTAGTAACTTTAATATAAAATATTTTCTGTTCAATTCAATTGCTAAAAAGTTTTAATTACATTTCATAAATTACTTTTCTTCTACGATAGTCCGCAGGAATTTCAGATATCTGTCACCAATAAAATACATTCTCTTACAATAATCACTGTCTTATGGTCTAATGAGCTGAAACTATTCATCGATAAAACTTGCTCATCCGTAGTAAAAGCTGTGAAGCCGAAACTTCGTCCACAAAAACAAAGTTTTGTCGGAATATGTCATAAAGAAGTTGTGTTATATTTCAAATAATATCATTTTCTGGAGGACTCAATAAAGTTCTTAAAAGAATCAATTCTCTGCGATATTGAATTGCAATGCTACATCAAAAACAAAATTAATGTAAAACTTTTGCTTCATTTGTAACGTACAAAGTTCGAAGTTGAATCTCGATTACTTGTTGGTGAACGACTATCAGATCTAATTTTATCTATATAAATAAATATAATATATTTAATTATATTACTTAAAATTCTATAAATATTTTTTTACCATTATGCAAACCATTACTATCTGCAAAATTTTGTTTTGAATGTTTGAAAAAATTCTCTCGCTTTTTGTCACTTAAAAATTAATTATAAAATGAATTGGATAGTTTTAATTGAATTTCTTACCTTGCATATTGTGATCCAAATTGTTTTGATGGTTTTCCAATAATATCATCATCATCATCATCATCATCATCACTTTCAATACGATGTAATTTTTCTATTCGAGAAGTCTTATCTATTTTATCTCGATTGAGATATCCACGTAATGATGCTTGCACAATTTTTAAAGCAGACTTTTATTAATTTAAATAATTTTAATTATATTCTTTTTATTAAAATTCTTACTTCATTTGAAATATTAGCTGATGTAAATCGATTTTTGATATTACTACTATCAAGATTATCTATCTTTGAACCTAATTTTTGTTGACTGGTTCGTGGCGATTGTGTTTCTGGTGATTTCTATTTAAATAATAGTTAAAAGAAAATGGTCCTGTTTAAATGTCAAAATTTTTGTTTCTTTCTAGTATGTATAGACTCCCACGGCTGATTAGGGAATCTCTTTAGGTGTTAAATCATTTTTCGATCGAGACAATATTTATTTGGTGAGCGTTAGAGACTAATAGAAAAGTCTAAAATGATTTGGTTTTCCGGATCTTCGACTTCAAACTTGATACAAACAATATTCTCAATAAGATTAGTTCATTGGCCAAGTTGTAACTTTTTCTAGTGTCTTCTATCCTGAGATATTCGAAATTCTCTCGTGTGTAAAAGCAAATTTTGTTTATATATTCATATATCTCCAGAAAGGAAAAACTAGTCGCATAATCAACTAATGTTACTGAGAATATTGTTTATGCAAAGTTTGAAGTCGAAGGTCCGGAAAACTAAACCATTTTAGACTTTTCTATTAGTCTCTAACACTCACCAAATGAACATCGTCTCGATCGAAAAGTGAATCGACATCTGGAGAGATTCCTTCATGAATGGCTCTGCTGCTTGGCACGTATCCATAAAGTGCTGTGTCCAAACGTCGGTGCCATCAGTTATGCAATGACTCTGGATAAGTTACTAACGGCTATTTGTCTCGGATCATACGTCCGATAGCACACTGACTAGATATTGACATACGGGTATATTTCTCCTTCGTTTCTAGTATAGGATATTCCAATGATCAACTCGTATCGTTAAATGACTTACTATTCCACCAATTTTTGAGTTCCGCTAAAATAAAGAAAAAAAAACGAAATAATGTCAAATGAAAGAAATCTTAATCTACTTTGTCAAAAGGATACTGTTTTGTTTTAGATGTAAATGAATGTTTATGTGATTTATGATGTTCACGCCAACCTCGTTGAATGACAGTTGCTGCATGTTTTTCTCGAAAATTTTTAAGACGATTTTCATCATCACTAAAGAAAATAAATAAATATATATAATAGAATTTCTATTAATTCTATTTTACCTATTCCAATTATCACGACGAAAATTTCGAGACGTTGTTTTTCTTGTAATTGATGGTGATGGTGTGTTACGATCAAATCTAGTCAATGATGAATGTGAACCAATATGTTCCTTAGATTTTTGTAGAGGTGTACTTGATCTAAAGAATAAACAATGTGTTATTAAATTCTATTTGTAGGTGTCTTTTGTTTTTGAATTTACCTTGAATCTTTTCTAGTAGGTTCTTCAGATGAATATGATCCTTGACGTGAAGCAATAATTGATAAACGATCCGTTTGATTTGATGATTTCATTTGTCGAAAACGTTCCGATCGTAATTCGTCAAAATCATTATTAATTCGTTCGAATTTTTTACGATATTGATCACGTTCATGTTTCATTTCTTCAAGATCTTCTTTAACAATATCAAGTTTATCACGATATTTATCACGTTCATGTCGCATTTGTTTAAGTTCATCTTTCATTTGATCAAGGTCATTTCGATAATTTCTACATGTGTCTTTTAAATCTTCAATTTTTCGACGTAAATCTCTATCAGTACTAACATCCTATTAATAAAAGAGAAAAAAAACCCAGATATTATGATTTAAAAACTATTCTTCTAAGCATAATATTCAAGTAAAAATCATTTATAAGATTTAAGGAGCTGAAAAAAAAAACTTTAAGATTAACTTGATTTTACAATTAACAATAGCATTATCGATAGTTTACAGTTTTATTTCTATTAATATTATGAACATGATTAGTAGAATATAAATATAGTATAGCAAATTTTTTGAATCATATTACATACATTAATAGAAAATCAATCACTGTCAAATATATACGAATATAAGATAGTAATATATAACTTAAAAGAGAGCAATATAGTATTCCCGATAGTTCGAGGTGCGAAAAACACGATTATTTCAATGTATCAAGCACCGATCAAAAGTCTAGCTGGAATATTCCATGGAGTTTCTATCACAAAATCGACAAGTGTTTCAAAATCTTGTGACACATTCAGAGTTGGTAGACTATGTTGACCTAATCTAGTGATATGTGACAGGATTTATGTGTTTACAACAAAAATATGAAGATTTTCTAGAAAATGATTACATAACATACTCTTTCGAAAGTAGCACATAAAGGTTTAACTATATATACATATATTTGGATTGACTTTGGCTAAGATACTGTGACTTAATATCTATTTTTCTACAAAATATATATAGGTAGTTATTCTTCCTAGTTCAAATTTACTGAATATTTCGTTGACTCAAGAGTGCCGAATCAATCTTTAATGGTAGCTCTTGGTATATAATAATACACCGCTCAAAATATTCAAAAAAAAAGCCAAAATGTGCTGCAGTCAAGACTACAAACAATCAGAATAACATATACATAATTAACACTTTATATGTGCAATTTCGAAGGTCCTAGTATAAAGCCATTTCCGACTTACGAAGGAATATCATCAACTACCCTCCTCGATTTCAATGAGTTTTTGCCTATAGATACTATATAGTGTTCTAATAAAAATTGGATTCATATTGAAATTTGACTAAGCTATCGAAATTTTTTCTAGATGCCATAGACGTACATGGCGACTGGGAATCTGCTGCTGCCGTGCCGTGGTCCTAGGAGAGAGAAGGCTTCCGCGTCGCTATGGCCATCTGTGCTAGATGCTTCAGATTGTCGAAAAATTCATCTTTTCAAATTTTGATCTGAAACTTTGCGCATATCGAGAACTCAACTAGACTAGCTTTCATAAAAAAATTCAGAAGGTTTGAAGACAGTCTCTCCGAGATATGAAGCTTACAAAAAATGCGTCTTGTATAGACTATCCATAGAAAAATGTCTATATCTTGAAAGTCTCATACTTCGAAGAGACTTTGCTAAAAATTTCTGAATTTTTTATGAAAGCTAGTCTAGTTGAGTTCTTTATACACGCAAATTTTCACATCAAAATTGAACAAGACAAGTTTTTCGAAAACCTAGAGTCCTCTAGAAAAATATTCAATAGCTTAGTCGAATATCAATAGGAACTCAGTTTTTATTAGAACACTACGTTGTATCTATAGAAAAAAACAATTATTAAAATCGAAAAATGGCAGTTGAAGAGGTTGCTCCATTAGTCATTATTTTTATGGTTTCATGTACAATTCTACTATGTATGGCTTTCATATTTATGTATGTCGATTTGAAAATAATTGACTTATATGTGATAGACAGTCGTCATAGAATATCTCAACTACCAAAGTTTGTTGACTCATCATTCAGCAAATATTTTGAATATTTCATCTAGCGTAGTAAATAGCATTTTACTGATGAGCAGAAAATGTTCAAGTCTTGTTATACAATTAATTACAAATTGATTTCCTGTATTTTTGAAAATACAAAAGAAAGTGTGACAATGAGCATTATTTTTTCATTTAGGCGATAGACTAATCTTTATACTGTTGATCTAAAAAATCTGTTTTTGGTAGCAGCTAAATAAAACAGCATGAATTTCTTCTAAAAACGATTCATTTTTTTTTTGTTCTATTCAAAATCTATCTGCAAACATTTCTACATGCATAGCAATTATATTATATGTACACTTACACGTTGACGTGATGATAATTGTCCGTCACGTTCTAAAAATTTGAAAACAATACATAATCAATTGAATAATTTATAATTTCTTAAAAATGTCTAACCTAATTTTTCCATTTCATTAAGTTTTTTCTTTAAATTATCATTTTCTATTTTTAATTCTCTTTTTTCAGTTTCTAATTTTCGTACAGCATTCATTTTTTCTTCATCAATTGAAGCTATATAATCACTTTTGAAAAATAAAATTTTATTAATTAAAAATAAAAAAAATAAAAATAAAAATGATTTATCTTACTGTTGTATAAAATTTAATTTTTCTAATTTTTGTTTTTCAAGTTCATTAAATAAAGCACGATTTTGTATTTCTAATTCTGTACCTTTTGTCCATCGTGGATCACTTTTCATTTCACTAGAAATAAGAAAATCATTAGTTTTCTTTTTGTCTAATCAATTAATCTCTTTTCGACATACTCAATTATAGTTTCTTTTTGTTTCAATTGCAAATCTAATTTAAATAAACGTTGTTTTAAATTCATAACAACATTCTACAATTCATAAAAAAAGCATTTCTTTTATCTTTTAAATTGAAATTAAACTTACAGCAGTTGAATTAGAAGAACCAGTTAATGTTCGTCGTATATCCCCATCCTTTGAAAAATAGAAAATTTAAATCATATTTTTCCTATTGAAGATATCAAGACAAATAATACCTTGTTCGCATCATAAAAATTATCCATTTCTTTACGTTTACGTGCATTATCTTCTTCCAAACGTCGAACTCTAGCACGTAAAATATCATTATCAGTTTTTGTATCTTTTAATTCCTATATAAAAAAAAAATGAAACGATATATAAATCTATGCGATTTAAATTAATAAAACTTTTTTTAAAAATTGAATTTCATCATAATATTCTTCTTGTGTTTTATATTTTGGATTTCCACTCATTGGTCGATTGACTAAAACAAAAAAATTATTAAACACTTTTTTCTTTTTAATCACAAATTCTTTTCTTACAATTATTAGGTGATGTTATTTCACTAGCACTATATGTACGTGTTACACTTCGAGCTGAATGTCCATTTGATAATGTTGATGTATTCATTAATTGTTTTAAATAATCAGGTGTACTTCGATAAGCAACCTCACTATCATCATATGAATGTAAACGTTTAAAAGATTTGATTTTTCTATGTCGATTATGAGGCATTTGTTCAACATAAACTTCGCGTTTTGAATTTGTTCGGATTCTTCCATTTATAGTTTTTGACATGATTTTAAAAAAAAAACGAATTTTTGAGATTTATTATCTGATCAAGTTATTATATCTGATTATCGAATAATAGCCATAAATTTTATCGTTACTATGGAAACAACAATCATCATGATTGAGTAATATTAAATTGCGACCTCTATGTATACAATGATTGATCATGTAGAACCGACCATCCTTATGCGATACTCGAGTTATGTTGTTATACACACCTAGTTTTTCTTGTATATGTGGATTTTTTGTTTTTCTCTCATATTCAATATGATGACTGTTATTTTACTGTACAAGTACAGGTTCTGTTTTTCAGATATAAATAATAGACATGCTAGCAATAAGATGTCGATTACCAATTAATTCGTCTCGAATTGTGTCTGCTGCTGGTGTAATTACAAGAAAAGAACAAAAACGACATGCATCTTTAACAATGGAAACACTTAATCCACTTGTTAAAGAAGTTGAATATGCTGTTAGAGGTAAACATGTTTGTTTTTTTTAAACTCAATCATTATTTTCTATTATTTTTAAACTATAGGTCCGATCGTTATTCGAGCTGGAGAGATTGAAAAAAAATTAAAGGTAATTCGTGTTTTTTTTTGTATTTTTTATCATTATATTTTATAAATCATAAGTATACAGCTATGGTTTCATTTGAATAACATGATTTATTTATGTTTCGAGCAAAAGAAAAAGAAAACATGTTACTTCAATTACTCACTTGATATGTAGGTATAACGAATATTTGTAATAGGGGCTATCATTTGTGCACGAGTGATTTTCTTTTTCAATGATGCTTCGATCAATTGTTAAATATAAATACTTATAATGTCATGAAGGAAGAGAAAAAATATACGTCAGAAACAATTCACCTTTAATATATTTTATTTCAACGAGAATCACTATTCCCTATTGATCAAAGCATCATAAAATCTACGAGGATGGATTATAAAAAAATTCTAACGATGGAAAATTTAAATCCACGTGTAATTGATGTTGAATATGCTGTTCGAGGTCCAATTGTTATTCGTGCTGCTAATATTGAACAAGAAATTAAATCGGTTTTAATATTGTTTTTTAATAGACTATTATTATTATTATTATTATTATTGATGTTTTTCTTAGGGTAGTCATAATTTTCCGTTTGATCGTGTTATTCGAGCTAATATTGGTGATTGTCATGCTAGTGGTAATCAAGTACCTATTACATATATTCGACAAGTTTGTATTACAATTAATTTAATTTTCTTTTTTTTTTGAAAAGAAAATTTTTCTTAATTTCTAGTTCGTAGCTGGTTGTACTTATCCAGAATTAATGAAATCATCTAATTTTCCATCAGATATAAAAAGTCGTGTTGAACGTTTATTATCTGTATGTGGTGGAAAAAGTCTTGGTGCATATACAGAAAGTCAAGGTATTATAACAATACGTGAAGATATTGCAGCTTATATTCAACAACGAGATGGTTATCCATCAGATCCAAATAATATTTATCTTTGTAATGGAGCTTCCGATGGAATTAAAACTATAATTAAGCTTCTAATGAATAATAATCTAGAAAAACCATCGGGAATTGTAAGTCTAAAATAGAGTACTGTACGGGTATATAACTTTTCGTACTCAGTAAATCTTGCAATAGTTTTTAAAAGTAGAGGCATCTGGTAGACAGTTTTAAATCGAGATTTATTATACCCGACCTATGGATTGTAATGATCTAGTCTGAAATTGACTAATAAAAATCAAATGATTTAATTTCTAGATGATACCGGTTCCACAATATCCATTATATAGTGCTACTCTATCTGAATATGGAGCTTATCAAATTGAATATTATCTTGATGAAGGTAATAATTGGGCATTGAATATAGATGAACTTGAACGTGCATTAAATCAATCAAAAGATCGATGTGTACCACGTGGTATGGTAATTATTAATCCTGGAAACCCTACTGGTAAGATATGATGGAAATCTATTTTATTTTATTTCAAGTTTGTTTTTTTGTTTCGATTAGGTCAAGTACTTTCACGTGATAATATTGAAAATGTTATTCGTTTTGGTAATCCTTTTGTCTTCTCTTTTTTTTTTTTATAGATGAATAATTATTCTTTTTATTTGATTTTAGCTCATAAACATCAATTATTTGTTGTGGCTGATGAAGTTTATCAAGAAAATGTTCATTTACCAGGTTCAAAATTTTTTTCATTTAAAAAGACACTTATGGATCTTGGTGCACCATATAATCAAATGGAAATGGGTATTGAATATCTTATTTTTTGTTTTTCGATCTCAAATTTCGGTTGTTTTTGTTTTTTTTTATCTTTCAGCTTCATTTCATTCAGCATCAAAAGGTTGGCATGGAGAGTAAGTTTACATTTTTTTTTGCTTTTATAGAGAAAAAAAAATTTTTCTCTTTCAGATGTGGTTCTCGTGGTGGTTATTATGAATTAATTAATATTGATAAGGATGTCAGAGTACAAGTTAATAAACTCATATCAGCATGTCTATGTTCGACAGCTTGGGGACAAGCTGTTATGGCAGCAATCATAAATCCACCAAAAGAAGGAGAACCATCCTATGAACTTTATAAACAAGAACGTTCAGCAGTTGTTAACCGATTAAGAGAAAAAGCTGAACTTGTTGGTCGATTATTTAATTCAGTTGAAGGTGTACAATGTAATCCTGTTATGGGGTTAGTTAATAAACAGAAAAAAAAACATTTTTTTTGTTTATCTAAAATAAATTGTATTCTTTTAGTGCAATGTATGCATTTCCACGTATTGAACTTCCTAAAAAAGCAATTGAACATGCTAAATCGAAAAATATGGCTCCAGATGCTTTTTATTGTTTTCAATTATTAGAAAAAACTGGCATATGCGTTGTACCGGGTAGTGGTTTTAAACAATCACCAGGAACACATCATTTCCGTACAACAATTTTACCACCTGTTGATCAAATGAAAGATATGGTTGAAAAATTTCGTACATTTCATTTGTCATTTTTACGTGAATGGAAATAGTTCTCATTTTCTTTTTCATTTTCTTAATATTCTTCTTCCAAAAAAAACAACAAACAATAATCAACAATATGTCTTATTCTCTAGTACGTAAACCTACTTACTTCCGGTGTGTTTTTTTGTTCTTATATGTATTAGTCTTATTCCTTTGGCTAGTTTTATATTTTATGTTCATGTTTATAGGAACAAACCAACTTAGATTATTGAATTTTAAATGTAGTCTTTCGATGGTAAAAAAACAAACTATTTGTGTTACAACATTATTTAATATCAAGTAATAATTATCTAGTATCATGACATTGTTAATTACAAGAAATTTAATAAAAAAAAACCTTTGACCAGGCACTCAACACCAAGAATATTTTCATTTTTTGTAAATTTCTTTTTCTATAATGCATGAGGCAAACTTTTTTGTGTGACATTTGGAATAATTTCACTTTGATATTCATTTGTTGACATGATCAGTTTATTTGATATTGGCACCCTCTCTATTACTTTGATGGGATAATCATGTTTTACTTTTACTGTTTCATTGATTTTGAGATGTTTAGAAGTCACGAACTACGAAATTTTTCTATTTCGCATTATGAAAATGGGGGAAAGAAAGCTTTGGAAATTAGAAAACTAATGGCAAAGATGACTCTTCAGATAGAAGTCATCCGGTAGAATCCTGGACTATTCGACAATTGGCATCCAATGGGATCCGACTGTAGGATTCTATCGATAGGGTTCGATAGTATTGAAGTACTAAGTTTTGCTTTTTGTGATTATTAGACTGATCTTATCAGAACACTATGCCAAAGATTCTGATGGAATCCAACTTCAGGATTCTTTGTCCTGAGTCAACAAAGTATATTGATCGTTTGCTATATCGATATAAGCAATCTGGTTCAATTAATGCTAAACCAAAAATTAGTAAGACCAAGAAGTAGTCATACAAAAAAAGACTCATCATTTGAGTGAAAAAGAGGCTTGACTTCAACATTTCTCGAAACTATTTACGGACAATGGCCAACGACTTAAAAAAATAGTACTCGAACCAAACAAGTGAGTAAGGAAAATATGTTGTCTATGGATCAGGAAGGATATTAGACGTGACAAAGTGGAAAGAATGATGTTTGCCGATGAAAAAATATTTACAACGAATGGTTATTTCAATCTAAAAATGACATTGTGTGGGTTTATAATCGATCTGATGCCAATGTATACGATGAAAAAATATCTGCTGTGTATCATAGTTGCACTGAATACTTACACGTCCATAAGTTGTTCAAAACAGCGCGTGACTGAATGACCAAAACTGTTATAATCAATGGTTGTGATTTTATAAAAACGAGGGGATGATGCATCACTCATTGTCTTTCCATAGCTCCACATTTTCATAGTGAAAACTGAGACTACAAAGATGGATCTTTTGTTTTTCGGCTAATACAGTTTGTAAATTTGTCTTAGACAACTATTGACTGCTTGTCTAACCTCTAATTTTGATGATCCTTGGCAATTCGTGGATTACTTTGTAATTCTTCAACTTTCAATCTAATTATCATTAGCGAAATGCAGAATACAATATGTAGATAGAATCCTCCAAATCTTTTCAGTGAATGATGACCCACATGAATATAAAACTGTTTTCAATCATAATTGAGTTGATAATGCACTCATCGAGTGTAGAATTTTCTAGAACTTAAAACAAACGAGAATCATTGAAATAATCGCTATAGACATTATGCTTAGAGTGTCATCTATTTGTTTATATGTTCAATGAGAATCATTTTCAATTATTGCTAAAACAGCATTAAAAGTTTCTCTGATCACAGCAAATAGAGGACGATCTGAATATAATAAACGAGCACGATTTTCATGGTAAATTAAACCAATTTAATAGTCATGTAAAATTATCCATGGAAAGTATATCCATAAGAATTCAAATTCATGTGTAAAATGTTGTATCTCTAGTCTAAAAGGAACAAAAAATAAATAAAAGTAAATAT